AATTAATCTGTTTTCAATTCTATTATGAGTTGACAGTTGAGGGACTTGGCGATGAAACAGTGATGTTTCACTATAAAGTGGAAGCATTTGTTCCACTGGGGATTAATTACATTTTAGCTTTAATTGCAAACATTTTGAATTGAGCTTCTACTCGGAGCGCGATCGAATAATCGCTAGATTTGTGCAGCAAACCGAACCAATTTTTTGTTTTGCACTTTCTCTCAGTGATATGTTATATTGAGTGCCGATTAACAATGGCCGCGTGGTAATCGAAACATTAAGCGAACTGTCTGCGTTGTTTGATAAGAGGACTTAGGACATTTCCAGATTGGGCGGGGTGAGGTAGAAGCATCGAGCAGGAAGTCTGGAAGCAAGGCCGGTTATTGCCTGGCCAATTATTCGTGTTTTCCCATTTCTGATTATAAAGACGTTCAATTGTGTGTTGAAAAGGAATGTATGTGACTTAAGACCTGAAACGTTCCTCATTTTCCTACAAGTAAAGGTTAAATCATCATCTCTACTTAACTACTTTACTCTTAATTTGTCTTTAATTTCTTATTCTGTGATACTCCCGCTCCTCTGTTGCCCCAAATATTATTTCTTATTGCAAAAAAGCTTGAAGTTCAGACTACTGTCCTAATCCTCTTTTGCATCCAGAGCATCAAGATTTCATCCAGCCGCTATTTGATTTCACTGCATTAATATTTTCAAAACTTTCCAGCTTTTTTTTGGAATGAAATTTTGTGCAACACACAATTGCCAATCTTCTTTTTAGATCCTTATTGCACTTGACCGGTGGGAAAAGAAGAAATTCGCCAATTCGCTTTTACAAATACATGCAAAAATCATCTGTGCCTGTGTATCTTACTCATCACTACTGCCTAATCCTGGTAAACAGAACTACAGGATTTGCCAGTAATTTGATTAAAAAACCTTCTGAACTTGCTAGTGGAAATGGTTCCTGCAGTATGCGCTGAATTGCTTTCTGTGTCCCACTGAACGTTTTCCGTTTGGCCCAATTCAAATACTAGTTTAGAACGAGTAAATTAAATTTTGTTGCAAAGCGCAATAAAAACACACTGACGACTTGATATCCTTTTTGCCTTTGATTCGGCGTACCATATTTTTCAACATCTGCGCCACTTGGCCCCAAAGTGTTCTGGAACTATCTTTCGTTATCATGCTATATCGATCTCTATTAACGACACGGATCGCTCTTTTCACCCTTTGCTTCCGAAGAACTCCTAATTCACTAGTCAAGGCTGTTACTGGTTTAGGAAGATGTTGCTGCCGAGGTCTTATCTCATGGCGTTTGGTCTTTTTCCAGTGCAGCGATGAGAATGGATATTCCGTTTGCGGGAGAGCAAATTCACTCCTATTTCGGCGAGTGTCTCTTTCCACGTTTGGACGAGTAACTCTTTCTGCGCGTGGACGAGCAACTCTTCTCTCATATGGGCAAATAATTTTTTTCGTATACGGACGAGCAGCTCTTCCCATATGCAAACAAGCAACTTTTTCCGCTTGTGGAAAAACGGTTTTTCCCATATGTGGGCGAGTAACTCTTTCAGTATATGGACGAGTAAATTTTTCAATATGTGGACGAGTAACTCTTCCCATACGTAAAAGAACGGTTTTTCCCGTATGCGGGAGAGCAACTTTCCCCGCATGCGGACGCATAACTTTTTCCAAATTTTGAACAGCAGCTTTTCCTGTAGGTGGACGGGTAACTTTTTCCATATGCCGGTGAGCAGCCTTTTCCAGCTGTGGACGAGTGACTCTTCCCGTATCTGAAGGAGTAATTTTTTCCGTAAGGGAACGAAAGATTTTTCTCGTTTGTGGAAGAGCAATTTTTTCCGGGTTTAGACGAACAGTTCGTCCCATTTTTGGACGAGTAACCTTTTCCGTGCGTGGAAGAGGAACTCTTCCTATTTGTAGACGAGAGGATCTTCCCACATGTAAACGAGAAGTTCTTTTCATATGTGGGCGAGCAGCTCTATCCATATCTGGACGAGCAATTTTTTCTGTGTGTGGGCGAGCAGCCTTTTCTTCATGTGGACGAGTAACTCTTTCCACATTTGGACGAGCAAGGTGTAGCTCCTTCTGTTCAATAGTCTTTGCTGTTAATGGTTTGGAAGCTGTTGATGGCTGAATGAAAGATCGATGCGCTGGATTGTACTGCGCTGTTTGATAATTTCCTGTAAAACACTTTAAAAATTTAGATTAGAAAATAGCTTCTGTCTGAGATAAAAGGCAAAAAAAAAAAAAACGCTCTGTGAAAAATGTTGAGCCTTTGGCTAGAAAAACTGCTGCGCAGTAGAAAATGCAGGGCGCAAATGAATGAAATCATTGCAGAAGGAAAGATCTGATGTAGTTGCTCTCATCGCGTAATCGCATCTGAGTGGTTTCAAGGGACCCAGTAGTGAACTAAGTAATTTTGGATTTGATTAAAAAACGAACATGTCCTCAAATTTTTTATTTCGAAATTCAACTATCAACATCTCGTACTGAACCGATTTGCCTTCCTCAATCCAGCAAACTACCTCATTCTATACTAGATTATTGCAAAAAAGCAAATAAATTAGAAATTTATCCTCATATGAATCTTCTTCGATATTTAAGTAATAAAATTTATATACATTTGTGCCTGAGGTCAAAAGCAGTGCACAGGACAGCTTGAAAATTTATCTCAGGCTCAGCTTCTCATACACAGTTGGAAGTTTGCCAACAAAAAATTAGCTTCTTGACTTTCGTATCTCTATTTGAAAATTTCGCCAAATAGAATTGTAGGCAAGCACAAATGCATCTATACACACACACACACACACACACATACATCCATATACACACCCCCTTCGCAATGCAGATACGAAAATTGCTAAAAATGCATGTTGAAAATCTGCAAACGGTCATTAAACTCAAAAATCCAACTCTGAGTTTGTATCTCATTTTTCTTGGCGGAGAGCACGTTGATGACACAGTGAGCGTGCTTCTGCACAGTATCTGCCTTCTTGGAGCATTTGCGATAGTGGTACTGATAGTGCTCATCAACACCTCCTTCTCTGCAAATTGATTTTCTGGATGAGGTTCGACAAATCTGCTTGTGCTTGCTGTTATTACCAGTCATTTTAACCTGTAGTTTCATGAAAGGGTTTGCTTCTATTTTGCGTTGAAGGAAGTGTTAAACTTGAACAAGTGGACGCCCAAGAAAAATCTAGGAGAACTGAAAAGAATCAGCACTGCACTTGGTGACAGAGTTAAGCAGTAGTGAGTGGTACATATATATATATATATATATATATATATATATTGATGTCATACACAAAGATATTAGTGTCTCAGTTTTGCAACACAGAGGCCGGTAGCCTGACGGATACCACATCAAGAATCGAAATATCGGAAGTAATGAAAGTGAGGGTCCGATTTCCCACCAGATGTTACTTATTTGCAAAAGACAACTCCGACAAGGAATGTTGAAGCATAAGCACGCTTAAATCTCTAAAACTTTGTTGCACACGACCGCTAAGTGAAACGATTAATGAAAAGAACCACTTCAAAATGTTTTACTATTTGACGTTCCCCTTTATGTCTCCGTTTTTCCTCTCTACTGTGCTATTTGTGCGTTTTTGCCGTGCAACGCTAGAGCGCTGCAACAGACAGCAAAAACGCATATTGCAATAACCCTGTCAGTGTGTGTTTGTGTTTGTCTGTCCGGATGTTTCAACTCGCCAACCAGGCAAGCTTTGAAGCTGAAATTTTTGCCAGTGTGTTCCCCGACCAAGTACTACCCCAGAACCGCGGTATCAACCTTTACGCACGTTTGGGCTCCATTTACGACCATTGGCGGGAAAATTGCTAAATCGGGAGCGAGAAAAGCTAGAAAGCTGAAACTTTAGGGCAGTGTTCCCAGCCCATGTATGACTAAAAGATTTCATATTCAGCTATCTTGAACTGCAGGGACTCACGTGCGAACACGTGGAAATTTTGTGGAGAAATCACTAACTCGGAAACGAGGACAGCTGGAAGGCTTTAATTTCAAGGGAATTGTTCTCTACTCATGCGCGACTAAAAGTTTTCACATTCAGCTCTTATACTGGGTCTTTTTCGTGCGCCAGCAACTTTCCCTTTGTCGGATCACTGAAGCCGACATCTACAACTGACATACCACATAGTTGCACAATTAGCTTCCCGAACTTCGAGGGCCATTATTTCACAGGGCTAGCTACCATGATTCTTTGCGATCTTGCAACAGCACGAAAAGTGCAAAAACGCCTGATAGCACCCGACCGCCTGGTGCGTCCCAGCCTAGGTATTGATGATGTTGCGCACAGGATGCAAATGATGAAAGACAGCATCATCACTGAGACGGACGGCCAAGTACCTGCGACTGAGTCGTGAGAGACGTGGCTATGATCGGCTCTGGCGGGATGCGCAGTAGGCGATAACTTGGGGAGCTACTCATGCATTTTTGCTCGCTTGCGTTCTGGACATCGGCATCCAAGACGCATCCCTCCGAGCGCATCCTTCCGAAATGCCACCGCTCAAAGATTTTATTCACAACGTTATTTCGAACGTACTTCTAGCCTGCATCTCAACTTTATTATCCTTCGCCCTATATCTCCACCTCTGCCTCATATGTACTCCTTTCGACATTACATAGCCAGCCTACACTTTGGCTGCATTTAGAAAGTTATTGCGATTACAGTGCTTTCAATATTGTCCTACAACCGCCACTCACTCTCTACGTATGTCCCAGAACAACCATCCGCTGGCTTACTTTTGCAGTCACTGTTGCATAATTTCAATTAAAAAGATTTTTAACGTAATATGAAAGCGTAAGAACGCAACCAATGGCAGTAGTTATATGTAGACACATATTTTTATGAATCACATGCACACTTGTTGCTGTATGCTTGCTTCCTTTATCGAACTTTAATTCACCTCTCTCTACTTATACCTACTAATGGTACAATGAGTGCGCTGCATATCAGAATCTCCTTCTCTCAGTTAAACTGGAAGGGTTTATTCAGCCAAAAACTAAAATAAGTATAAAACGCTGGAAATAAACTTGCGAAGCATGGGAGACTGCGTAAGTTAAGAAAGAATATGAAACAGAGGTAAGGAAGACACAAGACGAACTTGTTAATTTTGTTACTGGCAAATGCGGACATAAAGCTTCCGGTAGCTTGATGGAGCCAGTGATTAAGTAGATCCCGCATCGCATCCTCGGAGACTGGCAGCACAATTTTCTTGCCATCGTAATATTGCGCGCCGAGCATATTGCTTCGATCTGGCTGCTTGCCCCATCCCTGTCCTTGTAGCGAAAGCTGCATAAAAAGAAGGAGCAGTATCCGTAAGGCAATATACATGTCCATACAAACTGCTCTTCCCCAAAGCTGTCTGAAACTTGCATTTTGCTCTGTTCATTGTGATTCAGAGTAAAGAAATCCTTTATATCGAATTCATGTTTATGTGTGTATGAGTGTGTTTTTCTGTATGGATGTTTAAAACCAAAAACTACGGATGCTAAAACCGGAATTTGCTAGCATGAAAATTTTGAATTTTGGATCCAGATTCGGCTCTTCAGGCAAGGGATTATTAAAATTTGAAAACAAACAATCTTGCAAGACTCAGATTGGTGACAAACAGCCTAAGATCAGACTCCAAGTCTTTCTGTAACCTAATCTATGAAATTAGTTTTAAAAAGAGGCTAAGAATGATTTGGAAAATAAATTTCTGAGAGTGATTTAGAAAGTTGAAATTCTGCAAATAAATATGGTGCACTAAATAAGACCCAGGCTGGAATGCCCCAAGCTTTCCGGTGCGATCATGCATTTTTGCACTAAACTCGCAGACCGCTATTAGCAGGAATGATCCCTACGCTGTAGCCTAACACTTGG